TTTATTTGCAGCAAAGACAATAAGACAACAAAGGGTAAAGGAAAGTGGTCAAGAAGGCCACTAATATAAAAGAAAGCCGGATAGAAACAGAACCCAGTCTAAGTTTGGAATTCTTTATAGGTCCAAATTTGGGCATGTTTTCAAAATCTCACTTTTAAGTTTTCTGTATAAACTTGTTCTTGAGATTCCGTATGTGGATGTGTGTTCTTGTTAGGCTCTTTTGTGGTTTTCCATTTTTCTTTTTCTGTAAATGTGTATCTTCATATCAGATTGAGGATTTGGTTACTGCACAATGAGCTCTTAGTAATGTGTGCTTTGTGCTGCATGTTTGCAACCTTATTACTTGCAAAAATCAACATAATGATTTGTGATATCAGAAATTAGTCTTTCCTTGAATTAGATATATTTTGAATATTTAAGTATTGATATGAGATAAGTTGATGATTTGAATAATAATCTTGGTAGGGAATTCCTTGACGTTTTTAATGCCACTGATAATCTTTTCATATGTCTTAGCAACACTTGAAATAGAATATACATCATGCTTTCCCTTGTAATCATTTTACTATATTGATACTAAAGACGGCTAACCTTCATTACCTTAGGAAAGTTTAAAGATGATACCAAAACCAAACAAAAGGTGGAAAGTTGAGAAAACGTCAATGTTTTGCCATCTATGTAATGGGCACAAGGGAAAAAATTTGGGATTGTAACACACCTTATTTTTATTTTTGGAGCAATACATAGATAATATAAAACTGACTCTGAAATGTGAACACCTTCATGACTCTCTGTTTGTGCAAGTGATGTTAACCCTAAAAATATTTTAAAGAATTTTTATGGTGGAACAATAGCCTTTGATTGATCTGTCTCCTCTATTGAAGTTATTATTTATTTTTACTGAGCTTTCTCTTTTTTCTTCCATTTGCTACTTTCGGCTACTGAAAAAGAAATAAAATTATATAAATTTCTTTAAGAAGTTTCTGTTTTTATAAATATTTGTTGTTCTGGGTTCTGAGGTTTCATGTTATTTAATATAAGCCGCTTAATATTTCTTCTTTATTCTCCAATGTTTCAGGTCTTTTGGGATTATCAAACGGTTTGATAAATATTCCAGAAAACACTCGGTATTAGATAAATCACCTTATTTATCTTTTTGTTTTGTGAGATGTAAATATTGTAGTCATATTAAGATATTGAAAATGAACTTTATCTTTTGCTGCAGATCATGTTTGAAGATGGTGGCATTGAATTCCTTGACATGTCAAAAGAAGATTGGGAGCTTGTAACATTGTGATATGATCGTGAGGCAAGTGTAAACTTTTATCCTCATCCTCAGTGCCTTGTTTCGAGTTTTATCCATATGATATCTCACAATCCTGTTTGCTAGCTCTTTGAACTTTCTAAATAAAATTGATATAAGAACAAAACAAAATATGTGATACGGAATGGCAAGGCTAGATCTACTATTTAACTCAGTATTATATGCATACTTACACATGAACTCTTCAACTATAATACATGTCTTTTGGGGTAGTAGGAAAGGAAAGAGGGGGTGGGGAGGATTGGTTGCATCATTGATTTTGTATGGATATGCTGTCGTACCTCTACTGCCATTTTCATGGAGAATTTGCGATATGCACTTATCTCACATTGTGTGATGATAAGAATTTTGTGAACAACGGCCCGTAGTTTTGTAGTTTATTATATAACCTTCAAAGGAGTTGCTGGAGCTTGGGGGTGCCGCAGCCACTTGAGGCCTGTATGCGGTTGTGGTTCCTCCCATGACTATGGAGATGTGTTTTCCTATATTTATTTCCTGCGTTGCTTGTGTATTCCTTTACTGGTAGTGCTAGTTTTGCAAGTCCAATGTCTGATGATATCTTTTGGTTTGGTGCTTATTTTGCTGGTGAAGGATTCTGCAGAAGCAAGGACGACTCGTGGTAGTTGGAAACCGTAGCATGTATAACAGTAACTAGAGTTACTGACACTGATGTAGGCTTCACTCTGCTGTTTCATTGAGCAAAAAGGATGATCAATTCTTTGCAATGCGATGCATGTTGTAACAAATCACTAATGTAGGAATTTTAGCGATAATCCAGGCCAGGCCAGGCCAGGCCCCTCCCTAAAGAAAAAAAGAAATTAAAAAAAAAAAAAAACGAAAGAGAAACATCACACAAAGAAGCACGGGGTTGGTGAGAATGTTGTTGTTGTATCGAATGTATTTTTCCACATTTTATTTGTCCTTTACTTTCTGGATAGTAAATGTGTAAACTTACCGTAATAGGAGATTATTGTTTACTGGTTGAAGGTCTTTTTTACCATGGGCCGTGTTGAGGATCTGATTGTATTGAAATAATAGATAATTCACTAAATTTGAATGAAGAAATTGACGCTAACTTTATAGTTAAGTAATAAAAAAGTGTTCGGTAAAAATAAATATCTTGTTTATCCATACGCCCAAGTTTATTTTGTCATTGTATAGGATTACATCATTTTTACTTTAAATTTTATCAAACGCTTTTACATTGCTTTTTATACTCGCAATATTTTTATAAATATAGTTTATTAAATGCTTAATTGCTTTATTTTACAATTAATTATTTTTAAAGCATAATAGAAGCGGTTTTCTTTTTAAAGCACAACAATCCCCGACTGACCATTACAATAAATTGTCTGCCTATTCTCTAAATTGTTGTTAGCATCTTTTTTTTTTAATGGTCAAAAGAGCAGAATTTATTAAAGACGAATAGAAATATTTACATCCGAATCACAACACAAAAGAGGTATTAGTTGATGACCTAAGTTGTTGGGCCAACTTCTGATGTGTAGGATGTTAGACCTCACTTGCCACCAATGATCCATCCGGTGACGCGACACGAATAATCAGCGACGGACACCGGTTTTTCTAGAGGAATACAAAAACACCCACACAAAACAAATAAATACGTATGCTTAGGGAAAGATTGACAAAACGAATGGAACGGCTGTTTTTAGTCATAGAAAAAAAATAATAAATAACCGAATAGTGCTTTTGAGCCTTTGAACAATCTGGAAAAGTAAAAGGATACTGTTTGGCTAATACATGTAAGGAACCGTTTTTACATAGATGCAAAATCGCACTGCAACACATTAAAATAACTAATTTTTTAGTACATCGATACCTTTTTACGGAAAGAGATTTTTTTTGGATCTTCTACTAAGGTCACCAGATCAAATGATATGAGCCTTTAAAATTTGATCAAACAACTAAAAATAATGGTCTCTTTTAAAAGTTATAATAATTTTAACCGTTTGATTAAATTTCAAGGGCCCGTATCACTTGATCCAGGACCTTGGTGGAAGAGATCCAGAGAGGATCTCTTTCCCATTTTTATGAGAAGAAGTTCAGCTGAATTACACAATGACCAACCTAATTTGATATCAAATTCGTCATCCACGAGATTCGAACCTAAGACCTCTCATTTTAAGTGAAGAGTAATACCATCAGTAGTACTGAGTGATTTAAATAACTAATTAAAGTATTGAAAAGAAATATTGTCACGAAATCAATAACGAAAAGTTTGCTTTTAATTATTTTCTAAAAGGTCACTTAGACCTAAATTGTAGTTGTATTTCTCTTCACTTATAAGTTAAAGATTTTACATTAAATTTTAGTCAATAATAAATTTAAATCAAAATATTATAACTAGTTTATTGTGAAATTTATCTCTCTACTTCTTAATGTAAATAAGAAATTACAAGAAAGAAAAAGGAAAGATAAAATAAATAAAAAACAAGAAGAGGACGCCGAATGCCGATGGAGGAGTGGTAAGGAGTAGGTGTGGTGGGTCCTGGCCACCAACCCAACCCAACCCAATCTTCAATCCAAGTGAGAGTGGGGGACCACCAGGGGAGTAGGGAAGGGATGTGACAAATTGAGAATGGTCGGGTGGGGGGACTTGTGGTTGGAGGTAATGTTAAGAAGTCTAAATGTGTAAATTAAATTAGAGAACTTTAACGAAAAGATTTTGGTACGGTTTATTTTAACAAAAAAATAATATTTTTACACAAAAAAATTAATTCTGATACTATTCACTTTATCATTTATTTTGTCCTTATCTTTAAAACTCAAAATTTTCAATCCATTTTCATTAGTTTCCTATTAAATTATGTAAATTAAACATTAAAGTTGTTTGTTTTCTATTAACGACGTATCATTTAGTTTACAAATTTAATATATTTGTCTGGGTTGGCGATGGTTGGTGCAAGGTGGGTTTTCCCAATCTTTTGGGAGGAATAGGAATTGGAGTTGGAAAGGAATTCAGTTCATCAAGTGGTTTATACTCGTAACAGGGGAGATAGCACGAGAAATAGTCTACGTATATGTGTACCCGATCACCTCCCTCGTTCTTTGGTTTGGTTTTGAAGTTTGACATTGTCTTTGTTTAAATGTAGGATTAAGCTCCGAGGGACTCTAATCAAGTACGAAATTGACCAACACCAAAGCGTGCAAGCCTATGAGTAACGCCGGTGGTTCGACGGCGAGCAAGCCTACACGTAATGTAACCAATGAATGGTTTTATCAATAGTATACTATAAGATGACCGCGTGTGAAATTTTTAATTTTTGTTTCTAAAATTGAAAGAAAGAGGAAGAGAGCGAAGGAGAACATGAGAGTCGAGAGAGAAGGAGAGATGTTTATTTATTTATTAAATTTTTATTCTGAAATTAGAGATGTTAAAATCATCTGTAGGTGAGTGAAGTTTGAAAATTTTATTTTGTGAAATTACGTTACCATCCTTCATCTTTTTGTTGTAATAAAAGACTAACTAATTTTTTGTTTTTTTAATTGACAAAGAAAATTCTATTAACATGTCGTTTAGATATAATAAAATTAGACGAATAAAAATCATAATTTTGGACGAGAGAGTTGGAAATGGAGTAAAAAAAAAAAAAAAAAAAGGAAGCGGGGTTGGTGGGTGTCTCCATCTATATAACGAGAGAAAGGGGGTATGAGGAGAATTGCCATTTGCCACCACACACGTTGTTAGTTTTACATTTTCTGGCAAATTGCCGGTCCATAGATTTGCTAATCGGGATCTAAATCTGAAATTAAATTCTATAATCCCGGTTATTTACATATATCTATATATTACAAAAATTGTGCAGTGTGTCGGTGCAGACTCACATACTTGCAAGCGCAGCAAGGATGAAGGTGATAGAGAAGATCCAGGAGTCTTTGGTGGATGAGAAGAAGGTGGTCTTCTCCTTCGAGTTCTTCCCCCCAAAGACCGAGGATGGCGTCGAGAATCTCTTGGAGAGGATGGATCGGATGGTCGCCCACGGCCCCGCCTTCTGCGACATTACCTGGGGTGCCGGTGGCTCCACCGCCGATCTCACTCTCGACATTGCCAACAAGATGCAGAACCTCATCTGCGTCGAGAGCATGATGCACCTCACCTGCACCAACATGCCCGTCGACAAGATCGACCACGCCCTCCAAACCATCAAGTCCAACGGCCTCCAGAACGTTCTTGCTCTCCGCGGCGACCCGCCCCATGGCCAGGACAAGTTTGTTCAGATCCAAGGAGGCTTTGCCTGCGCCCTCGACCTGGTTGGTTCCTACTTTCCCTTCCTTACTCAAATTCCCCAGATCTGACTGACACATTCATTCTTTCATTCATATATTGCTTGCAAATTGTATATTGTAAATTCCAAATCGCTAAATCACCCCTTGCAATTGCAATTGCAGGTCACCCATATCAGAGCCAAATATGGCGACTACTTCGGCGTCACTGTTGCTGGTTATCCAGAGGCTCACCCGGACGCCATTGCCGCCGATGGCCTCGCCTCTCCAGAAGCATATCAGAGTGATCTCGCTTATTTGAAGAGAAAGGTTGATGCTGGCGCCGATTTCATCGTCACTCAGTTGTTCTACGACACTGATATTTTCCTCAAATTCGTGAATGACTGTCGCCAAATTGGAATTACTTGCCCCATTGTTCCTGGAATTATGCCCATCAATAACTACAAGGGTTTCATACGCATGACTGGCTTCTGCAAAACCAAGGTATTAGAAACTGCCTTTTCCCTCTTCTCTTATCTTCCTCATCATCCCACTTTACAAACAAGAAAATGGCACACTGTAGATACCAGCTGAGGTTACCGCTGCCTTGGAGCCTATCAAGGACAACGAAGAAGCTGTGAGATTGTACGGAATTCACCTTGGAACCGAGATGTGCAAGAAGATTTTGGCTTCCGGGATTAGGACTTTGCATCTTTATACTCTCAACATGGAGAAATCTGCGTTGGCTATATTGCAGGTTTTCGTCTATATCTTTCTTATTCCGTCTCAATTGACTTGAGATGTACATCAAATTATATGAGTTGCTTGATTAAAACATGTACTACTTTGGCAGAATCTTGGTCTGATTGAAGAGTCCAAAATATCAAGGCCCTTACCTTGGAGGCGCCCTGCAAATGTTTTCCGTGTTAAAGAAGATGTTCGTCCAATTTTCTGGTATGCAATCCAACTGCTACCAAAGACACACACACACACACACCAAAGAAAATATCTAATCGTCCTGGTAATTGATGTAGGGCTAATCGTCCCAAGAGCTACATATCAAGAACCATAGGCTGGGAACTATACCCACATGGGCGGTGGGGTGATTCCGGTAACCCTTCATATGGAGCACTGACTGATTATCAGGTACAATAAACACACCAATTTGGTCATGGTGCCTATAATTTCGGGATGGATTTGGGCGGATCAGTTTCTGTGTTTATCAAAATTTTCTGCGTTGTTAAATACTTGAGCATTCCAATGATGTTCTCTTAGAGAAAAATTTACCTTTATTCCTAATCCAGTTTATTTCATTTGATTAAAGTTTTTCACAACCATCTGGTCACAGCCACATGTTCTTTCTTACTTTATATTTTTCCTTTGCACTGGAGTTGGGTATACATGACCTTAAGTCATAATTTTTCAACAGTTCATGCGGCCGCGTGCACGTGACAAGAAACTTGTTGAGGAATGGGTTGTCCCATTGAAGAGCGTTGAAGATATCTGCGAGGTGAAGTTTCCATCTCACTGTGTATTTTGTCTTTGCATTGTCAGCAAACTACCTATGAACTGACGTAATGGAATTGCTATTATCTCAGAAATTTAAGAAATTCTGCCTTGGAAAATTGAAAGCAGCCCTTGGTCTGAACTAGATGGGCTTCAGCCAGAGACGGGGATCATAAATGAATCGCTAGGAAAAATTAACACTAAGGGTTTCCTTACCATCAACAGCCAACCAGCGGTAAATGGGGAAAGATCTGACTCGCTGTCTGTTGGTAAGCAATAAGAATAAATATGTTTGTCATTTTGCGATTATGATAACCATTTGAAGATTCAATTTGTATCTCATTTTTGTGAGTGAGGCTCTATCTCAAGTAATTTGGTTTTTATCGAGTTTTCATCAGAATCACTTGAGTCTCGTTTGAGCCATGTAAACTAGCTTGAACTTGGTAACTTAGAAAATTCAATATGATAGATGATTTCATTTTTTTTCATGAAGATAATTTACATGTGATTATCATCCTTATACATTATTTTGAAAATTGCATATTATCTAGACTCTTAACATATCTAACTCGTTTCTCAGGGTGGGGTGGTCCTGGAGGATATGTTTATCAGAAAGCCTATCTAGAGTTTTTCTGTTCGAAGGAAAAGTTGGATGCTCTTGTTGAAAAATGCAAGGCTCTTCCATCTCTAACTTACATGGCCGTGAACAAAGATGGGAGCTGGGTATCTAATACTGGCCAGACTGCTGTGAATGCGGTAACATGGGGTGTCTTTCGAGCAAGGGAGATTATCCAACCAACTGTCGTAGATCCTGCCAGTTTTATAGTTTGGAAGGATGAGGCATTTGAAATCTGGTCAAGAGGATGGGCCCGCTTATACCCCGAGGGTGACTCATCTAGGAAATTGCTTGAAGAGGTTTGTGCTTTTCATTAATGTCTCTTCTTCCCTGTTAACATATATATGATTTGATTGTTCAAATGTATGCTTACTACACCCAAAAGACACCTTTCCACTCTCGATCTTTTGACGGGAATTGAGAATAGTAATATCGACGCCATCTTGTTCTCAACTTTTGCAGGTGCAGAGCAGCTACTATTTGGTCAGTTTGGTAGATAATGACTACATCCACGGTGATGTTTTTGCTGTTTTTGCCGATGTTTGAATGAGCTGTTTTGTCAACTCTTCCGTTTCTTAAATCCCTTAAAAGTGGTGCTTTCATTGCAAGTCCGATTATAAATTTGATGTCATTAAGTTGTGTAATAATAACTCGTTGGGATTTTTGAATATCCCCTGTTTCAATTTCATGGTGCAAATTGCGCGTATATCATACGATCTGGTTCTTTGTTGGTTCGCTTCTCGTATGTAGTTTGTGGCAATGTAATCCACATTATATGATTTGTACTTGATGTTCTCTCTTTAATCTTTATAAATTTATATTGTCGCGTATAATATATTCCGCTTCCTTCATACATTGTTCCACTCTAAAGAGCTAGTATCATCTCTTCGTTATTAAAAAAAGAAAATTTCTCTCTGGATGGCACTGTTTAGAGCTTAAACATGAGGAAATTCAAACCATTTAAATTAAATTCAACTGTCCTCACTCGTTCCATTAACTCACCTCACACAAACCAGGGGTTCAAATCTCTATTTCTCTCTTTTAAACAGTCCGGATTTTCTAGTCCGTAGGCTTCGAACAATGAGGACCGGAGAGGATCCAAATTCGATGAAATACACATGGAATGACAAAATGTTAACCAATACAAGAAAAGGAAAACCTACTTAAAATCGTTAAGCTTTTGGTTTTAATGTCATGTACGATTCTATGTGCGTTTCTTCCACATGTTACTCATCACCCTTCGTCTATCTTTATTCATCCCTCCTTTTCCTGTAAACCTCTTTATTTCTATCAAGAAAATAAAAACCAAAAAATAAAAAACGAAATAGTTATCAACGGACCTGAGTATAAAGCGTCCCTGTTATAGATTTATGGGAAAAAAATATGTGCCCTCGGTCTCACTAATTTAGACGGCTGCCCAACTTGTGACTATCGCCCAGAAGTAGTGAGATAAGCATCAAAGTAAACAGGTTACAAGACACCTTCGTAGTTGATGCATCCATTTATGTGTACTACAGCTTGTTACCTATGAATTATGATATATAATTCTACTCTGAAGTGAAGGTTTCCTTGGAAGCAAGCTCTGACTCTAAGAATAGATGAGTTGATGCATCCCAAAGCTCCTCCCCAAGTTTGGCATTGTATGAGAGCACAGAGGAATCGACGGTCCTACCCTTTCCTCCAAAATAATATACTCCAGACGCTTCCTGAAATTGACAGAGAATAGCTAAGATAAGAATCCATTTGATGTTCTGAATTGTTACTTCTCACTGAACAACTCAATTTCAGGAGTGAGGATGTATATCAAATTATCAATTTAATACAGAAAATGAAACATTACGCTCCTATCAAACGCCAGAAGAACTAATACTCAAATCAAGGACGTCACCACTCAAACCACCAGATTTCTAGTTATGCGCATTGACTAAATCCTTTGAAGTGCCCAAAAATAAAATGACGCGTACTTTAGTATTCATTGCATAAGACGAAAAACAAATTGCAGCAGTATTAGAGCACTGGAAATGAAATGTATTTGTTTTGGGCTAGATCTTGAGATGGTTTGACTGAAAATTTGCGACACCTTAGGACAAACAATCAGTGGCATTCATATTCACAAGAGCAAGCTGCAAGGACTTCGAATGAGGAGAAACTTACTGGTGGGGAGAGTGCTGCGTCAAGAATGGAACAAACTCCATTCTCAGGTGACTGCAAAAGGCCCAGAAGTTTCAAAACTATGAAAGCCAGACTGGATAGGCATGAGGGTACCTCTCGCATGATGTTAGTTTCCACAACTCCAGGATCTACAGCACTTCAAAATCATACAAAACCATAACTAAAATCAAGTTTTAAAACCAAGTGTCAAATGCATCAATCCCAAAAAGTCCGATTCAACGTCCGATAATAATCAGAGACAGTAATTGACTCCATTGGCATCTTTGCTATTAAGAATTCTGCTTACACCTTTCAGGAAAGGAAATGGGAGAAAGTGTGAGCACATACATGACAGAGACCTGACGTGATATATCCTTCAAGCCACGTTGCCGGTGAAGCTCATAGGAGAAGAGCAGGAGGAATACTATCAACAAAAGGGGCTTGTTCAAATTAGAATAGAGAGAGGATTGTTTAGGGTATCTTATATGGAAATCATAGCTTACATTTGGAACACTCGTAGACATGAGCAAATGGGTATTGCTTTGGTCTGCTGAAGCACTTCCCAGATACAGTGTCCTTGTTAATCTGTATATTCAAAACTGAAGAGAGGGGGCAAGGGGAAGGGAAGAACCAATAAGTTTTTTTATCAAACAACACACACACAGAGCGCAAATCAACAAGACTAGAAAGTTTAGAAGCCAATTTTTCATCCAAATTTCCCTATCAAAATATTTTCATCCAAATTCTAGCAAAATTCAGAAACAACAGGATAAGCACTCCTGTTACAGCATATCCTGCCTTGCAAGTTGCAACTTATTCATTTCCTTCCATTTTCTTTTGTATTTCCAGAATTGGGCAAACTGCATTTTCCAAAAGCATACTAATTTTGCTATAGCGAAGGTTTTGTGGATGCATAGCCCGATTCAATAAATATGAATGCAAAAGGTTGAAGTGCACATATTGGAAAGATTCTTACCACTTCGGTGTGTGAAGGACGTGACATTCACTATACGAGAAGGAACTGGGCTGTTTCTGAGAAGTGGTAATAATAGTTTGCTCAGAAAGAATGCACTTAAGTAATTTGTAGCCATCATCCTGGAATGACAAAAAGAAAAGGCGAAATTATCAGCCAGCAATGCACGATTGACGGGAAAGCGGATGCAGGGCAACTTCCAAGTTCCAAGTGCCATATTGAAATGTCAATTATTGTAAGGAAACAAATTCTTAAAGAAGAAGATAGACGAAAGAAAAACAAAGTTATTACTGATCATAGCCTTGAGAGGTGAGTCTAGATGAAGTTGCAAGTATCCCCGCGTTGTTGATGAGGAGTTGGATGGAAGGGTGCATCTCTGAGTTAGAAAGCCACTGCTGTAGGGAGGCTTTAAACAGGAGAAGTGAGTGGAAGGATGCGACGTCAACCTCAAAAGCTTTGAGATGTGCATTCTCATTCTGAGTTTTGATGTCCATTATCGTCTGACACAAACAAATCAATATCAGGAAATGGATTTAAGAAATTTACAACTACCCAAGAAAGCAGAAAGTTATGTAAAGCAGAGGGAGGCAGCAAAAGCTTAGAACGACCTACCTTTGCTAACAAGTGGGATGAACGTCCAACTGCACGCAGAGAGGAATGGAGAATGAGCTAAACATGCATCCTTACATTCTTATAAAGTTATGAACAGACTCTGCATATATTGGATGATATATTCTCTATTGCAAAATAAATGACAAGTTACCAGTCTAGGCTCTAATCTAGCAACATGATTGAGTGATTCAAACAAACAAGATGAATATGAATACCGAGAACCACGAAGAAACCGCGGGCGGAGAGAGCATGGGCAGCAGCCGCACCCAATCCAGACGTAGCCTGCGTTAGTATCAATGAGACCGAAACACTTAGACAATGCAATTGAAGAAGAAAATGAACAAGGCAGTGGACTTACACCAGTGATAACGCAGACAGGCCTAAATCCCGAAGGCGAAAAATGAACAAGGCAGTGGACTTACACCAGTGATAACGCAGACAGGCCTAAATCCCGAAGGCGAAAAATGAACAAGGCAGTGGACTTACACCAGTGATAACGCAGACAGGCCTAAATCCCGAAGGCGAAGTCGAAGGCGATGATTTAGAAGGACGAGAATTGGAATTGGGTTGCAGAAAGAGCTTCCAGTAGGAGATGAGGAGACAGAATGTCCAGAGCACCGCCATTCTCCAGAATTCCATGGACGTTACAAATTCCAATGCCGCTTTCATCTTCTTCTTCTTCTTCTTCTTTCACTTTCTAGTACTAAATACCCTCTTACAAATTGACAATAATAAATATTAATGGGGATTGGGGAACAAATCAAATCAAATCAAATCAAATCAAATCAAATAGACCGAGCGAGGGAGCTGAATGAATGCTCATCTTTGAGTGCTGCTGCTGCGTATTCAGTAGTCGTCGTCGTCAGATTCGGCTGTCGTAAGTCCGCAGCGGCCAATCCTCAACGACTCAGAGAGACTGCTCTATGCTCTATGCTCTACCCTCTCTAGCCTCGCCGGCGGCGGCAGTGGAGACTGAAGAGTCGGAGTCGGAGGGTTGATGCATGCGCAGGCAAACAAGCGCCCAAGCACCACAACTTCTGTTTCGAATTGCAGACTTCCTTTAGTCAAATTCAAATGTGGATAACATGCTTCCTGCCAAGTGGTGTAATTGGTTCTTTTAAGATTTATTTTATTTGAAAAAATTGAATTATAATTTGCATAATTTAAATGAATGAAAAAATTAAATAAAGAAATTTTTTAATGTCCCGATAACATGACCCGAAATATGAAGGGTGTGTTGGGATTTTAATATCTGATACGTGGACCAATGGTTCACACGATATTAAATTAATTTGTTAAGAATAAGAGTTCACTGCAGTAGCTTGCTATTGGTTTCTCGTGCGTCACCCAAACGTTGCACTACAGTTGGGGCCTAGCGCACTCCACCAAATCTAGTTTTAATTTTTACAGTTTATGCTCTGTTAAACTTCTAATTCAATTATGACACACCCCGTCCCGAAGGAGGGCATGCTGGCCGTCACGTGAGAGTGACGTAACCATTTGCACAGTACGGAAGCTTTAAGATACAATTTATAAGTTGATACACCCGAAGGTGAGTCCTAATTTTGTCCAATCTGTCAGAACACCGTCGAATTCCTCGTAGTCACCACACCTTTGTGATTCCTGAACCTGGAGGGGCGCAAAACCAAAATTGAGTGGGTCAGTAAAACAATTCTTTTCCAAATCCAAACATTTTTCAAAACGTTGTAACCCCTCTCCGTAAAACCTGTATACTTTCCCAGAAATGTAAAATATAAATATACATATATATTCTCAAAACTTCATTTTTACTATCTCAACATTATCTCTTTATCAATCATGCCATGCCATGTCATCTCAACATTTCTCATATTAATTATGCCATGCCACATCATCTCAACAGTAATAAGGTATGATGAATGCATCAACATAATCATATCAGGTGCAAGAAAGTAATCAACCGTAGGCCCTCTAATAGCCCTATACGGTTGAACCTAGAGCTCAAAATCTATCATTATCACTCTACCGGAGTCACCTCTGTGACCCGTCCGGCCTTCTGCACGCAAGTTACGCTCTAGTGCTTCTCATAAATCATCTGTGCACATAATCTAAGGTCAC